TAAAGAGAGATTTATCCTTGGATTGTTAACTGCTCCTTCAAGAAATAATTAGCATTTTATAAAATTTGCATGATGTTTTTTTTTTTAAAAAAAAAGATATGTAAACACACAAATATGTTTTTAAAACATTGAATTCATCACACAGACCAACGACAGCAGGACACTCCAAGTCAGGGTTGATGAGACATCCTCAAACCTACAGCGATTCCGTTTTCCCTCTCATTCAATTAAAGATGAATTATTAATCAAGCTCTTATTAAAAAAAAATAATAATAATTAGTGATTTAAACTTCTTATCTCATGTTAATACTGGGTGATTTTTGAACGGTGGTCAGAACACTGCGGAGACACCCGGGGCAGCCTTTTCAAGCGCTCGCCAAGGTTCAAGCCAAGGTTTTTTTGTCAAAAGCAACACATTGTAGTTGGGTTTTCCATATTTATTTTTTTTTTAAATGACCTGAAAACTCTCTTTCCTCCACACCCAGTGTCCGTTCTTGTCAGTGATTTTGAAATCACACAGCCTTTTGTGCAGGAGAAGCAGCTGAGGTTTGCATTTAAGAAAACATTCGGGGAAAATTAAAATACGTGACAGGATTCAAAATATAAGCAGTCAAAAACCCTCCACAGATGATTTCTTCACGACTCTATTTAGTTTGTGTATCGCAGGGTGGGGTTGATTGGGATAAGGGGGGTAGCCTCTGCGTGGTTTATGGAGGATGGAGTGATAGGAAGGAGTGATAAAGCTGCCCAGACCCATCTAAGTTCAAGCACCGACCTACAGATTTCAGGGGTTATTTCCAAGAGCAATCTCCCGCGAGGCTGGAAGCAACACAACTTCTACACGGGTGACATGAACCCCAATTCATAGAGCAAGAGGAAAAAAAAACCAACCCAGGAGTGATTGAGCAGAGGTGGAGCAGACAAATGAAGGGATCCCAGGTGGAACTAAGTGGTGTTTTACGTGGGAGCCGTCCTGCTGCCGTGCCTCCCCGCGACCGCCTGCATCAGCGCACGGGAAGGCACGTGCTGCCCCGGCCGATCCCGCACGGGTGGGCACAGAGGTGCTGAGCAGCCAAGAAACCTGCCCTCAAACTTTCCATCTTCCTTAAACCCACCTCCAGCAAGATGGGAATGTTGCTAGTAAATAAAGTAAGGCAGGTATAAAAAAAATATGGAAAGTCTTGAGGGAAAAGAAGGATAGGAAGAATTAAATCTGTCTAATAAAATTCATCAAGATATCCTAAATTTGCCAATAACCTACAGGAACAATGAAGGGAAGCTCAAGAAGAGAGGTGGAGCACGGTGAAGAGAAAAAGAAAAGGTGACAGAGAAAATAAAAAGCAGGCAAAGTCTGGGCTGAACTGAGACACCAGCACATCACTGCGGCAAAATAAGGTTTGTTTGTCGTTCGTGCCCTGGTCTGGGAAGAAATGGGAGCGCTACGGAGACGGCTGATGTGCAGCCAGGAGAACTGGAGAACCCAGATGCACACAAGATGTTCAGCCCCATCTCCATCCAGGCTGGAGAGCGTGGGGCTCACGCTCTGCTGTGAGCACAGCCCCTCGGGCACCAGCCCTCTTTTCCAAGGTGACTCCCAGTGCTCTCAAGCCCCCTGGGAACTCGGGAGAGGGATGGGGAAGAATCGCACATCTCGGGAAAACCTGGAAGCACCAACGCCCCAGAATTAATCCTACAGCAGCAGAGGAACCCCCAGCCTGCCTGCACACCTTCTCAGCCTTCAGGAATCTGATCCCCAACCTCCACCACAGACCTTCAAACCCTTTTCTTAGTTTTGAAGGGTTTTTTTTGTTAAAAAGTGCAAGGAGAGAGACTATGGTCCTGACTCTGCAACACAGTGCAGCCTGCTGGGAGCTGGGCAACCCCAGGAGATGCTGGCTGAGCACCCAGGGTTTGGATCAGCTACAAGATTGACATCATTTCCCTGCTTCTGCTGCACTTGTTGAGTTGATATGAAGTTTTGTACAACCGTAAGTGGCTCCTACTAGGATCTGGGTTTTGAGAGAAAGTCTCCAAGTTGCTAGGAAATTATAATTATTCCACAGAACGAGGCTACGAGAGATCAACTGCTTAACTCAGAGAAAGAATCCAGATACAAATCCAAATGAAAATAACATCTCTAAAACCAAGTGATTTCTTTCATGCTTATAAAAGGTTCTCATGCACAAAAAAAGCGCTTTTTTGGGTTTTTTAGGTTGGTTTTTTTTTTTTTTTTACAAGAAGCAATAGTTGTTGTTCCAGCACACCCTGCTGTCTAGCTCTTAATCATGTAACACATTTGATTAATACTTACGCCACAGCAAAGTGATGCTCGTTATCTTCACAGTACTTCATTACACAGAAAAAAAGATACATGTAAGACCATATTTAACATTATTCTAATTGCTGCTAAAATACACAAACTTATTAAAAAATAAAAGAGAATGATTTCTCTGGAATCCAAGTGTTTTATCTCTCCCCAACCCCTACACAAAATAAATAAGGTAAGTGGATCTTCAGCCAGTCAGAAATATAGGAAAAGCAGGGTTTTTTTTTTTTTTGCATTTCAAGATTTTCAGGGTTTGGAACAGAAACCATAGTGTTTACATTAGCTCAACAGGACTGATCTAAAAGCAGTATGATTCTGACTACAGACTGATGTATACATGCTCTTCCTGGTTACTATATGTAGAAGGACCAATCAGTCAAAGAAAGAATACATTTCTTATAAATATATATGTGTGTATATATATACATATAGATGAGAGAGATGATAGGACAGGTGTTTCTATTTTAAAGCCCAGTACAGATCTAGGAGAGCCTCTGCATTTTCTTTCCCCCCCCCTATGGAAACACAACCAAATCAAGTCCAGAAATGGATTATGGCCAATTCGAGACCTTCCTTAAAAAAATTAAAAAGTGTGATTTTTATACTGTACCATAAACTCCTATTAATGCTCTGAGTAATTTAGGGATATACTCTCCTCCATCACAAAACTAAACCTCTGCATTTTTTATTTTTTTATTTTTATTTTTTTCTTCAAGTCACTTTTTGCATCTAACTAGAATTTTTGGAAAGCGAGCTAAAATAGCTAGTGCTTAATATAGGAAAGTAAAAAATTAAATTCCTTCTGCATCTTGAGAATATACATGGGTCACTCTTTGCTGCCTGAGGTTTTCCAGAATTATTGACCAAGCTGTGCACAGAAGAACTTAAGGATATTGGATGAAAGTTGGGTTGTTTTTAAATAATAATAATCTTGAAAAACTCCACCAAAACTTTCTGGTCTTTTTTTGTTTGTTCTCTCTTTGTAATCTAACTCACTCTCTTAACCAAGCTACAACTGTCAGACTCTATAGACAACGGGAGAAAATTGAAGTCCCATATATATTCCAGCCAGACCCTATGAAGGAAGAGGCTGCTCTCCTCCAGCTCAGCCCACGCCAAACACCTCTCTGCATTCACCGAGGAGCAAGACTACAAATGTCATCACGTACTTCACTACTACTACTACCCAAATGATTTCTGCTTTCTGGGGTTTTTTTTAGGATAACAAGAGTACAGTGCAACACAAATTCTCTTCTGGAAGCTTGAGATACAAGAGCCTGTCTGGAGGACGTGAACAGGAGCTCATCCAAACTCAGCCAGCCACCAGAGGAACCAGAGCTCTGTGCCGCTCCCTCATCACCTTCATCAAGGGGCAAATGAAAACAAACTCAGCTTTGCACCGAGCTGAGCGGCAGCAGAAACGTGTGGGAGACACTCAGCCTCTCTGCACAAACAAATCACCACCTGCTGAAAACCTTACGCTGCTGAAAACTCTGAGAACTACTGAGATCAGTTTTCATCGTGTCAACATAATGAAGACAGAGTTACTCGACAACTTCACGAGCAATTCCATCCCTCTCCGCTCCTTCCTGCCTCTCCTTCAACACGTACTGACTAACAGCATCTATTTTCTTTTCAGTTTCCAGTAGTTGTAAATAGAGGTAGCTGAGCTACTATTAAAAAAAAAAAAACAACAATAAATCACACGTTATGCTTTGAAGAGGAGGAACCTTTCAAATGTAGAAGTTACCCCTTAGCTGCACAATCTCTATTAATACTATAAAAATATGAGAGGACAAAAAGAAAATAGATGCAAGTCACTTTTGCATTTGGCACCTTTTGTCTAGATATTCATACTTCTCAAGTATTCTCTCTTTGTTTGTTTTTTTTTTTTAATAAAGTTAATGCACACATAGGACACACCACATCAAAGGTTTGCTACATATTTACAAGGCACCAACCCTTTGTCACTTTTTTTACATGAATAAAGAACCGCTAGAAAGCACGTCAGGACCCTCGGTTAACTGTAGTATAGACATACTTCAGTTCAGCACAATTCATGAACGTTTGGCCTGGGAAGATTAAAATAATCCAGATCCTTCTTACCATATAGAAACTGTAAACATTTTATAGCTGCCTTTAGGATTGGTGTATTGTGCAAAAGTTATAATTATTACTGTGTATAAGGATTTATGGCAGAAACCACATAAAAACTCTGTAAGAAGGTGCTGTTTCTATAATACAAAAACAAAACGAGGGAGAGAAGTCATAACCGTGACTCCAAATGTCATGTTCTTATCGAGAAGCTGGAAGCCTCTTGAATGGGATGAGCTCGTAGTGTGTGGGGAAGAATTTCTGTAATTTAAGGCCTAATGAGTAAGGCTTGTTTTGACCAATGAAGTGTGGCGATCTGAAGTTTGAAAACGAAACGCAAACTGACATCATGGAAAAAAAGCACCACTGAGAAACGTGAGTGGAGTCCCCCCGCACAACTTGCTTGGTAGATTTTTCTGGTAAAATCCCTGCAGTAGAAGGCCATTGAAGTTCTTTGAAAATTGTTCCAAAGTTGGTTTGTGGTTTGTTTTGTTTTGTTTTTTTTTCCATCTGTCAATAATTCCATCCCATGAGATGGCTGACCCTGGCTTTTTCTGTCATTTTCCTCACCCTGCCTGACCTGGAAGTACCAAGGTTCAAAGGATCCTCGGTGTGCACAAAATTGTCATTATCAGAATCGTCGTTGTACAAGACAGTTCTCCTGCCCTCGTTCCTGGTTTTGATTCGAGGTGGTCTGCCGAATCGCCCTCCAAACATGTTTTCACCAAATTGTCCTCCAAACAGATTTTCAAACTCATCGTCTGTAATTCGGGCACGTTTCGCTCTGGTGGCTCCTCGTGAGGCTCCTCTGCCCCCTCGGCCTCTTCTTCCTCCCCTGCCGCCACCTCTTCCTCTGCCACAGCCTCTTCCACCTCTGCCCCCTCTTCCTCCTCGACTCCATCTCCCCCACCTCCCCCATCTACCTCTCCTCCCTGTCCCTCTGCCCTGCCAATTCCGTTTCCCACTGGTGATTTTTCTTTTGATTTTTCTTTTGGGTTTTTTAGATTGCACAACTTTGCTGTAGTCATGGTCTCCATCAATGTAATCCTGGTCTGTTCTAGATGTTGATTCAGAGTCTGAATCGGAGCCACTTCTGCTTTCAGAACTCGAACTGGATCCTGATTCCCCACTTTCAGATGAAGATAAACCAGATTTTTCCTTTAATTCTCTCTTCTTCTTTTCCTCCTCCTCTGCCTCCTCCAGATGCTCATCTTCTTCTGATGCACTTATTAACTTCCTCTTGACTCCTGTCCGAGGTTCTCTGCCATCACCATTGGTAAGTGGTCCATCAGGAGAGTGATCTAAGCAAACACAAAATAACCCTATTGGTTATCATCATCATGCCTGAGCCAAATAGGACACAAAAAGTGGGATTTGCCTTATGTGCCTTTGAGGTGTGCTCTGGGGATGATCCAGCTCTGAGCTACTCACCACAAATGACCTTTTTATGCCGTGGAGACAAAGAGATGGTCTAAGGGGAAAATTTGTCAGACAAAGTAAACACAGCTCAGCTCATAGAAACAAGGACTGCAAACTGTCTTGACTGAGAGATTAGTGAAGACCCAGCCAATAACAGGAGCCCAGAGTGACTAGGTTAGACATGAACATCTAACATTTAGTCAGACTAATCTTACCTAGGGTGTCAAGGCAGAAAAAACCCTCTAAAATCCATTTCAAACCTGCATGCATTAAAATAACGCTCTACAAGCAGTATTTATTCCCCATCAAATGCATGTTCCAGGGAACGCTTGTGGTAAGCACAATTTCCAGACAGTAAATAACCCAAGAAAGTTCACTAGGATCACTGAACACCTTAACTTAAAAAGATATGAAGTGTCTTGCTGGCTTGGGACCCAAAATACTGCATGTTTTCAGAGTTATGAATCTGACAATGAAGATTACATCTCTTCTTTAACACGAGATACTTGTTAAATGAAAAGCTCACCTGTAACATACAAAACTGCTGCAGGACAGTAGTATGGACTTGGCAAAGGCTTCAGGGTTTCAGCCAAGGCTCACTCGATGCCTCCCTCAGTGGGAAGTCGCACTAACATGCCCCAGAGACAAAATATCCCAGTTTTCAAACAGTGTTTCCCTTCTAATCACAACCACTTCAGTCTTGATTACGATAAAAATATTCAATTTTTTAAAAACTTTTCTTGAGCTTTGGTTTCAACTCGATTAATAAAAAGACAAGGTTTTGGGGTGGGGACTCTCTTGGTTTGGTTTGCCTTTTTGTAAGTCCTGAAGGAACTGCAACCCTCAAGAAATTAAAAAGCAATGAAGCTTTTCCATCTGGAGAAGTTTTAAAGGAGTTCACTGAAGTGCCTGTGGCATCACAGGTATGCCATGCTTCAGGCAAGAGACCACAGAACTGTAAGAAGTAAGGTAAATTCAATTCTTTAGTATGGTTTGGGGATATAATATAATGTTTGACTCTTGCAAGAACATCATCAGCATCAAATGGAAGCAATATATTTCATTTCTAGTGAAACTGGTCATTGAAAGAACAAGACACTTATGATTTCTCACCTTGTTTCACTGGTGTGGATTTACTCCTGATGGGTCTACTTTTCCCTGGATCAATGATATTTCCACCTCGGTTCTGTGCGTTTGAGCCTGAGGAAGATGGTTGACCTTCCATCTCTTCACCAGTGGCTGAACCCAGAGGTTCTTCTGCTGTATCTGAAACTTTAGACAGGACACCACTAACGTGATAGAGTAACTTTTATCCTCTATTTATAAGCTTGTAACACGAGGCATTTTGGGGAAGTTTGGTATTATCTGAGTTAACAGTCTGAGTCAGGATGTTTATCTCACCAACCTGCCTCTGAAGTCATGAAAAGACAGACAACTCCAGGGTGTAATCCAAAGTAAGCTTAATACATTCGTTAAGTCCAGGCTCTTGTCACTAGATTAATTTTTAGCAAGGACAGACCCAAGTTCCCTGTTCTCTGACCTTTACCAATAACTTAGCAACAGTTGGAGGGCCAAGTTCATCTAACACAACCTGTAGACAACATATTTACATGACCTCACTACTCGCTCTTTCAGCAGGTGGGTTTTGCATGTGTCTCATTAATATAAGATTTAAACTGAACATTAAATATCCTTCAGCTTCTGCATCATTCTGCACATACAAGTTGCTGCAAGAGAAAGGATGGGTTTTCTAAAACTTCTCCTCACCATGAGATGAAACTGAAGAACTAGTCCTAGTCAAAGGCAGTGAGGTATTCTGGTTGGGTTTAGGTTGAATCTTCATTTGCTTCTGTTTCCCTTTCGGGCTGAAGACACAAAATATCCCAAAGAGATAAAACTGTTAGTATCAAAAGACACAAACACAAAACCCATCTCCCCTGCAAAGTGTCTTGGTTTTTTTGCAGCAAATGCATAATGCAAACCATCTCTTCCCAGTGCTTGCACAGGTGTAGTAATACTAAAAATAGTGACAACATCATCCTGTTTGATAAAGAATGAATTTGCAAGAACAAGATTTTATCTCACCTTTTAAAACAAACACTCAGTTTACTTAGATAAGGTATCTTAGAAAGTCAGGGAAGTGTTATACAACACTTTTTCAACAATTACTAAACAAAAGCAAAAAGAAACTTGCTCTTCCATTTTCTCCAGAGGGAATATTTCTCATTACATATATAAACTTTCACTTACCAAAATTATACACAAACTGAGTATGGAATTTGAGGACAGGACTTTATCACCCAAAAGAGTAACTGTACCAGGAAAATACCATTACTGACTGCTTCTTCACGATGGCACATCTACCACCATCATCTCAGAGGACACTGAGAGCAAGTCTCACTGTCATGACGTTACCTAGAGGCTCTGCTAGTTGAGGGGGAACTGCTGCTGCTTCTTAGCCGCTTTCTGTACCGTGGCCTTTTCCTCTTCTGACATTGCATCGCTGACTTGTACTCAGAGATGATATTTTTCATATGATTTTCAAATAAGGCAGATAGTCGAAGTGTCATGCTGTAAATCTGGAGTGAGACAGAGCATGGGCATACTTATTAGAAATTGAATAACTAGAAGATCAGCCAAAAAAAAAAAAAAAAAAGAAATAAAAAAAAAAATCACAAAGATGCCCAGACTTTGTAGCACATCAAAAAAATTCATGGTGATATTCAACGACGAGGTTCTTTAAAGATAATTTCCCTCCATGGTACGTGTGTATTCTCCTAATAGAAAGTGTTTTGATAAAAGGATTTAATTACAAAATATTTAGAGATTTAAAGGAAAATGGATATCTAGATTACTGAAATACAGCCTCCATAAAGCATGGAAGCACACCATAAGATAACTTGAAGTATCAAGGGAAAACCAGTTGAACTTTGTTGTCCCCTCCCCTATGTGTTTTGTTTTAATTGCCTAGTGACGAGTCCTTACACCACCCCTACGGAGCTGCACGCAGACGCCAACTAGAACGTCATCATTCTTAATTTCTGTAAGCAAGATGTCAAAATCCTTAAACCATTTCCCTGTCTTCTTTGTAAGCTCTGCCTCCTCTGTGTAGCCTCACCCACAAATTCACTCCTGGCTGTTTCTCTGTATTTCAGACTGTGTTTGTTTCTTTCAATTCAAGATTTTACCTCGGACGCATCTGAATTATAACAAACTAATAGTTCAAACTCAGCATAAATAAAACAAAGCTCTTGATTCCTTCCTCATACCCATTCCCTTCTGCTCTATCCAGTCTTCTGAAAGTTGTGTAAACACCATCAAGATGTTATCAGCCCTCTTCTCATTTCCTGTAGTCTGTCCGAATAGAAAATCTCTTTAATGCAGAGTTTTCTTTTCATTCATATAACTTAATTTTTGCCCAGACTCTTCTATTTTAGCAATTTTAGAAATCTCTTTCTTTAGCTCTGGTCTTGCCTTCATTCAGGACGCTGTTGCAAAGATGGTAAAATGGGTTAGAAAACCTCAGGATGCTGGCAGACATTTGGCAGGAGAGGAACCTGAGGTGGCAGAAGGCCCAGCTGAGTGCCCCAGCCCTCCAGCAAGGATTGTCTCACTGAGGCACTTCACAGTATTTAAACAAATGGATATTGATGGGCCACTCCATTAAGGTAATTTGGGAGTTGACTCACAAGCTGTTCAGTTATTAGCACACAGGGAAGTTCCCAGGGAGTGCGCAGCAGCAAATAACTCACTGATTTTACTCTGCTGCCAAACACACATAAAACACCCTCAAATCACCTGTCTTCTTGCAGTCCTGCAGGGACTTCCTTTCTAATGAAGTGAGCAAAAGTTACTGATCTTTATCTTCAGAGCTGACCCAACGGCCCACCTTTCAGCCCTTATTCAACACCAAGAGTTCAATCTATCTTCAGTGATAACAACTTTGTGCTTTCTTTGTGTGTAGGGTTTTGCATCTGGGCAGGAACAAC